GGAACGGTGATTTTATACTAAGAACTGCAGTAAAGTCAGGCTACAATCTGAGTTTCCCGCACTCAAAAGATACCCCCCTCATCCCAGCCCCCCCCCCGACCCCCCATGACCAGTCCGTCTTCAGCCAATTGGAACTCGCCTTTTCATCTTTTCTTCGGGGCTCAAACGAATTTGGCTACCTCCGTTCCGCCTCTAACAGACGTTTGCCTCTTCTCCCACCTCGCCTGGCTTGGCTGGGTTCCCCGCTTGGCAAGACGTACCCGCCGTGGATCCCGGGCACAAACAGAAGAGACTGCAGGTGCTTTGGCACGGCTCTGTACCCCTGGTCTGGCCCTGCTTGGCAAAAAAAACACCTTTGAGCCGATGGCTCCGAGTCTCTTCTAGCGTCAACCTGTAAAGGAGAGAGGCTCCTTTGGCCAAGGTTTTATCGAAAAGCATCGCGAGGCCTTCGTGCGCGAGGAAGAGAGTTGGGGAACATGGGTTTTGGGGCAGGGTTGGGTGCTGTCGATTCTGAAGATGTCCCGTGAAGCCTTGACTTCATCGGGATCTTCCAAGGATGTCTTTATGATTACCGTATTTTTCGGACTATAAGACGCACCGGTGTATAAGACGCACCCAGATTTTGAAGCGGTAAACAAGGGGAAAAAAAGTTTTTTGGCCTCCCCGGGCCCCAGGAGCAGTCTGCAGGCTTCCCAAGCCCTCTGCAGGCCCCGTTTTTGCGAAAAACGGGCCTCTTTTTGGCAAAAAAGGGACAAGCCTTGCGGAGTTTCGGGAAGCCAAAAATGGCTTGTATTCGGTGTATAAGACGCACCAACATTTCCACCCACTTTTAGGGGAGGAAAAAGTGTGTCTTATACTCCGAAAAGTATGGTAAATCTCTTTTGTTTAGCATCACGTAGAACGGGGATGTCCACCTCAAGGCCCGGGGGCTGCCTGCGGGGTGCTTAGATGTAGCCCGTGGGGCCGCCCTGGAAGTAGTGAAGGACCAGCCCGTGACTGGCGCTCCCAAGCTCCGTTTTTGCTGGCAGAGGGTTGCAGGAGGCCACCGTGGCTGAAAACGGAGCTCGGGAGCCCGTTTTCGCTGGAAGAGTGCTCGGGCCACCACAGGCGCCCCCAACATGAGTGACATCAAGTTGGCTACGCCCACCCGGGCCCCCTGAGGTCAAACACAACCTTAATGTGTTTGTGGCAGTTTGGCACTTTGAATCTCACCGGCTCAAAGTGAGCCTCAGCCTTCCGTCCTTCCGAGGTGGATAAAATGAGGACCCAGATTGTTGGGGGGAAGAGGCTGACTCTGTAAACTGCTTAGAAAGAGCTATAAAGCACTGTGAAGCGATATATAAAATCTAAGTGCTATTGCTATTGTTTTTCCCTTCCTTCCTTCCTTCCTTCCTTCCTTCCTTCCTTCCTTCCTTCCTTCCTTCCATCCATCCATCCATCCATCCATCCATCCATCCGTCCATCGTACACAGTGGTTAAAATGCATCATTGCAGGCTAAATCTGCTGATTGCCAGCAGTTCGATCCTGACTGGCTCAAGGTTGACTCTATCCTTCCGAGATGGTAAAATGGGGACACAGATTGTTGGGGGCAAGAGGCTGACTCTGTAAACCGCTTAGAGAGGGCTGGAAAGCACTGTGAAGCGGTATATAAATCTAAGTGCTATTGCTATTGTTTTTCCTTCCTTCCTTCCTTCCTTCCTTCCTTCCTTCCTTCCTTCCTTCCTTCCTTCCTTCCATCCATCCATCCATCTATCCATCCATCCATCGTACACAGTGGTTAAAATGCAGCATTGCAGGCTAACTCTGCTGATTGCCAGCAGTTCAATCCTGACCGGCTCCAGGTTGACTCAGCCTTCCATCCTTCCGAGGTGGGTCAAATGAGGACCCAGATTGTTGGGGGCAAGAGGCTGACTCTGTAAACCGCTTAGAAAGAGCTATAAAGCACTGTGAAGCGGTATATAAGTCTAAGTGCTATTACTAAGTGCTAATGCAGCCCTCAGGTTTGACACCCCTGACATAGACAAGGGCCCCCAACCCCCGGTCTGTTGACTTGGCACCTGGTTGCGGCACGCCAAAAACTGGTCCACGCACACAAACGAAGCCCCATCCGCGGAGGCAGGCAGCACGCAAAACCACGCTCCCTCCGGTCCGTGGGAAAACCTCTCCCTTTTGGGTCCCTGGTACCCAAAGGGTTATTATGGGCCGCTGATGTAGAAGCAACCCACTCCTGAATGCAAAGCGGAGGGGGGGCATGCGCCCACACACACCTGCCAGTGGAAAAATCACCTTTGAATAGCATAAAATGCAGGGTTTTTTTTTTTTTTCCTGCGGCAAGGAATTGCAAGACAGACTGGCTGGCTGGCTGTTTGTCAAAAAATTACATCATATCGGAGCAAACTGCTTTTAAATCAAGCATCCATTATTCATGCATATTAACTGTTTTCTTCTCCTTCCCTCCCGTTTCGTTTTTTTTTTTAAATCCACACTCTTCTCTCTCTCTCTCTCTCTCTCTCTCTCTCTCCCTCTCTCTCTCTCTCTCTCTCTCCTCATTTTTCACCTCATCATGTCTTTTCGCTTTCTCCTCCGCTTGTCCCTTCCTTCCTTGAGTCGTTTTTTCAAATTTTAGCTCATCTGTAGATTTATTATCTGCTTTTTGCCGGGGTTATAGAGGCAGTGCTCGACTTAACAACCATTTGTTTAAAGACTGTTTGAAGTTACGCTGGCACTGAAAAAAAGTGACTTGCAATCCGTCCTCGCACTTACGACTGCTGCAGCGTCCCGACCATGGTCACGTGATTAGAATTGGGGCATTTTATCAGTCAGCATGTATTTACGAGGGTCCTGGGGTCCCCTGGAATCACCATTTGTGACTTTCCCATCTGGCTTCCGGCAAGCAAAGTTTAACAGATTAACAGAGTTGGAAGGGATCTTGTAGGTCATCTAGTCTAACCTCCCACCCAAGCAGGAGACCCTACACCATTTCTGACAAATGGCAGTCCAATCTCTTCTTGAAAGTGTCAAGTGATGAAGCTCCCACAACTTCTGAAGGCGACTTCTGTCCATGGGTTGATTGTTCTCAATGTCAGAAAAATTTCTCCTTATTTCTAGGTTGAATCTCTCCTTGTTCGGTTTCCATCCATTATTCCTTGTCTGGCCTTCGGGTGCTTTGGAAAATAGCTTGGCCCCCTTCCTTCTTTGGCAACCCCTCAAATATTGGAAGACTGCTATCCTGTCTCCCCTGGTCCTTCTCTTCACTAGACTAGCCATGCCCAGTTCCTGCAACCGTTCATCGTATGTTTTAGCCTCCAGTCCCCTCATCATCCTGGTTGCTCTTCTCTGCACTCTTTCTAGAGCCTCCACATCTTTTTTTATAGTGTGGTGACCAAAACTGGATGCAGGACTCTAGGTGTGGTCTTACTAAGGCTTTATAGAGTGCATGAGTACCTCCCTTGATCTTGATTTCATCCCTCTGTTAATGCAATTTAGGATGGCATTGGCTTTTTTGGCTGCCGATGGACAATGCTGGCTGATATTGAACTGGTCGTCCAATAGGAAAAGCCAGGTTTCATTTAATGACCATGTGATCCACTTAACAAACCCAGCATAAAAGATGGTAAAAATCAGATGCAACTCATTTAATTTAGCCTTGCATCCTCTAATCTCGGTTCGACCAGGGGAGAACTACCCAAAATGCATTTCCTACCCAGATTCTGGATAGATTTTGTTTTGATCATATTCCAGTTTTTTTTAAAAAAAAAAATTCGCTCGATTTGGAATTACAGATTTGGGCAGCAGGGGATGGATGTTTCCAAATCTTTGCGTCGGGGCTGATGTGGCTACAAAAAAAAAAAAAAAAGGCCATTTACAAAGTAATAACCCAATTCTTTATCCTTGCGCCCATTTCTCCGTCCCACCCTGCCTTACTTGCCCGAGGCTAAAGGTTCCCAGTGACCAACTTTTATCCTGGCGAAGAGGTGGCATTAGGCTAATGCATCGCCCAAGTGCCAGAGAAAGAGCCAAACCATGAATAATTGATCCCGCTCTCCCGTAGCCCAACGACGTCCCATTTGCTCAGCCTTATTAAAAAGAGCGAGCGATTGGGGGGCGGGGGGGGGCCCCGAGACAGTAAAGGCCGTTGAGGGATTTGTAACACGGGAAGAATCGCCCACGAAATGGATGCCGTTGTGTTGTGTTGTTCTCCGTCTCTCCCCGCGCCCCCCCCCCTTCTCTTTATCTCCAAGGTCTTTAACTCAACGTCACGGTGAAGGCCGACTTAAGGCATTCGGGGATACGTTGAATTATTCATTGTAAAGCAGAAGGGGAGGGCATCAATCTGGGAGTCCAGAAATTTTGATTTCGAGAGCTTGGAAGTTGTTGGGTTCGGGAAGGTTGGCTTTGTTGGGCGTATCTGTTGGACAGAGATGGTCCCTGGCAAAAGGGCATATTCTAGAGCCCCAGATTGATTGATTTGATTGATTGATTGATTGATTGATTTGTATCCCCACCTTTATTATTTTCACTGAAGGCAACACTTTCCTCCTCCTCTTTTCCCTACAACAACAACCCTGTGAGGCGAGTTAGATGTAGAGAAAGGGACTGGTCCGAGGTCACCCATTTCTCTCTCTGGGCACAATGAGAATATATCTGCTGAACAAAACTCCGCATTGGCGTCAGGAAGGGCATCCTGCCAGTAAGCACTCAGATCCATTCAGTTGCCCAAGACTCCACACCCCGCAAGGAATTATGGGGTCGTTAAAAAAAAAAAATGATGATTCTCTTTTTATGATTCACCCGGCTGTTTTTTTTTTATTTATTTATTTTTTTAATTCAATCCAATGAATGTTCTGCCCAGTTCCAGCTCCTACGGACGAAAGATAAATGGCAGAAACTTAAAACCGAGCCAAAGAAATGAAGTATGAAATCCAAGCTGCAGACAATCACGAGTCCATCCGTTGTCCTCAGCTGACCCTCCCAAATGTTTCTGTGCTGCTTCTTCCAGATTCTCCTCTACAACGTGGAAACGGGGCAGTGTGTAACGCAACTCGGCGGTCCTTTGGGTGACTTCACATGCCTCAATCTCCAGGACAGCCCCCCCCACATGCTGGTAGCTGGAAACAAAGTCCGAAGGTAAATCTAAGCCAGGGTGGTTTGCCTTTGGTGGGCTAACATTGTGGGGGCGTATTTAAATGTGGGGCAGGATGATAACACAGAGGCAATGAGTCCAAGCATTTGCTTCCTGATTTAGAGATGACACTGTTGTGATCCAGGCCCTCCTCCCGCGGGAGGGGCCCATAAATGCATGCACAGGGGGCAGGGCAAGTGCGGGGGGCCATGCGTGGGGGCGGGGGGCTGTGCGTGCTATGCATTTTGGGGATTCGTGCGCAGTTTGGGCGTACGCGCTTTGAGCCCCCGGTCCAGAAAAGGTTAGCCATCACTGTTGTAGTCCATCTAGTCCCACCATCACTACCCATCCACCACCTCCCGGCCAAAGTTGGCGCCAACCAGTTTCCCCCCCTGCTCCGAGAAATTCAGAATTCTCCATTCCTTCCCTTTCCCCAACCAATTCCGTGATGACCTGCGCACAGTCACTCATGCGCTCGTCACCTCCCGGATTGACTACTGCAATACTGTCTACATGGGGCTGCCCTTGAAGACCACCCGGAGGCTTCAGCTGGTGCAGAATACGGCTGCGCGGGTAGTGGTGGGAGTCTCCCGACACTCTCATGTTACACCCCTCCTGCGGGACCTGCATTGGCTACTGGTTGCCCTCCGGTGAGATTCAAGGTGCTGGTAATCATCTATAAAGCCCTACATGGCTTAGGCCCGGGGTATTTGGTTGACCATCTGCGGCCAGCGACAGCTCCCCATCGCCCGGTGCGTTCTCACAGGGAGGGCCTCCTTGGGGTCCCGTCGGCCAGACAGTGTCGGCTGGCGACCTCCAGGGAGCAGGCCTTCTCTGTGGGCGCGCCTACTCTCTCTCTCTCTTTTTTTTGATTTATATGCCACCCTTCTCTGGAGACTCAGGGTGGCTTACAATGCGTTAAGCAATAACCTTCATACTTTTGTATATACCTGCTTAGTAGGGCTTTCGCCCTCCCCCCCCAAGCAGTGTTCTTTTTTATACAAAGTCAGCTTATTGCCCCACAATCCGGGTCCTCATTTTACCTACCTCGAAAGGATGGAAGGCTGAGTCAACCTTGAGCCTGGGAGATTTGAACTCGCAGTAATTGCAGGCAGCTGGCAGCTAAATACTACTTTATAACAGTAACATTAGTCTGCTGCGCCACTCAGGCTCTGTGGCGCCGTGACCTTCGCTCTTTCCGCCGTGACC